TACAAGCAGAATCCTTTTTGAAAATCTTTTATTTCCATTTGGCTGGACCCATGGATGTGGGACTTGTGGCTACACAAGACCAGCTGTACTGTGCCCTAGCTGTGGGTTTTCTCCTGTTGTGTGTCTTCATATTGTTAATTAGCATCCTTCCATTTCAACCAGAAGAACTTTAACACATCTTTAGAGATGTTTCTTTGAGTAAGTTTTGATCTCTTCTTTATTTCTGAAAGACAGTTTTGCTGGTAAATTAGTTCTTTTTTTTTTTTTTTTTTTTGCGGAATTGGGGATTGAACTCAGGCCCTAGCGCTTGCCAGGCAAGCACTTATGGTAAATTAGTTCTGATGGACAGCGTTTTGACTATTTTGCTCCACTCTCTTGGCCCACATGGCTTCTGGTGAGTTATCTGCTGATAGTTTTGTGGGATTCCCTTGTATTTGTTGGGTTACTTTGATCTTGCTGCTTTCAAAATTAGCTTTTTTGTCAGCAATTTTTAAAAATTTGACTTTAATGTATCTGTGGTGACTCCATGAAGATATGTTTATGACCAACCAGTTTGGAGCTCTTCGGGCGTCACTGATCTGGATATTCATTGCTCTCCTTAGATTTGAAAAGTTTTGTCATTATTTCTTTAAAATCCTTTTTGCTCTTTTGTTTCTCTGACCCAGTAATTTCAAAGGCTGTCTCTGCAGCATCACTGATTCTCTTTCCTCTTGATGGAGTCTGCGGCAGGAGCTCTATTGAAAACCTCATGTCAATCGTCTCATTTTACAGTTCCAAAATTTGTGTGGCTCTTTTAATGTTTTCTATCATTTTGCTGCTTGAACTTTCCATGCTGTTCCTTCCCATATTGCCATCCTGGTTTTTGTTTAGTTTTCCAGCTGCTTTCTTTGCTCTCATTGTGCTTCCTGGAGACCATCATTTCTGCATTCTTTGTCAGGCAATCTACGTATCAACTTTTTTATTTTTTTCCTTCCCCAGGGCAAGAAATCAAACTCAGGGCCTCACTCGTACTAAACAAGTGCTCTGCCACTGAGCTGCACCCCAATTCATAGATCTCTATTTGATTGTTCAGCCACTGTAGCTTTAGTTTTTTCATGGGGCAGTGTCCAGTTCCCTTGATTTTTCTGTGTGTTCTTTGAAGCCTTGTGTTGCTCTTTGCATTTGAAGGGACAGGCAGCGCCTCCAATCCCCAGAGCTGATGATTCTGGAGCTGTCTCTGACTTGTTTCTGAGATGTATGTTCTTCTTGTTCCCTTTTTGGGGGAAGTCTTGAGATTGTGGACTTTCTTTTAAAACTACAAAGCTGAGCTGTGTGCTGAAAACCTTCCATCTATTTTTCCTATGCCCATGTGCTGACATATTCAAGTTATTTGACGTCTGTGTCCTGTTTGGGTTCACATAAGGGGGGGGCATGATGGGAGTGCTTACTAGCTAGTTGAGGTATCTAAATTGGGGCATCTTCCTAATGAATTCTGTTAACAGATGAGTATGATATTAAGCTCTTCGTTGCGATCTTCAAGGCTGCTGCTGTGAGCCCCCCTTGCCATACCTTTTCCTGCTCTTAGCAACCAGCAGACTGTTATACCAGGCTAGACTCCTCAGTGTTGTACACGGAGTGAGACAGAAGTGGGCCCCTTAGGCACTGTCCCGCTAGGCTGTGGAATCCAGGCCCTCACTTGCCCGTCACTTTCCCCCTCTGTGGACTGAGCAGATGTCTCCCGACCCTAAGTTGTGTGATCTGAGGGACAGCATGACATGGATGAAGTACACCTGTAGTTGTGATCTTCTTCCTAGCATCTGGATTTCACTTCCAAGAACCTTTTGGCTGGACTCCTGGGCTCCCAACAAAATACTGCAGTCTGTGCGTGGTTGTTAAAATCAGGGGATATAGCTCAGTGGTAGAATGCTTACCTAGCATATGCAAGGCCACGAGTTCAGTCAAGTGCAAATCAGTCAGTCAGTGAGCTGATGAGTCAGTGAGTGAGTAAATAAATCAGGTTTTTTATTGGAACTTGCAGGCTAGACCTCCTGTCTTGTCAGCTTGTTGATATTAAAGAGTTCTGCTTTATTCTTGCTAGACTAAATGTTGTTTCTTAAGTACAGAAAGTAATAATTCAGATATGGAGGCATGTACATTATCCTGTTTTAAACATAAATTTTTTTAGTAAGAGTCTATAGGGTCTCACTATGTAGATCGGACTCATAGTGATCTGCCTGTGTTCAGCCTCCTAAGAGCTGAGATTACAGCACACCCCACCATGCCCAGTCTCAGTCCATCTCAGTATGCTCCAGAGAGTGAGGCCAGCACAGCATGTTGGGGATAAACACAAATATTCTAAGCATTTTTTTTTTGAGTCAAGACCTTGCTGTGTAATTCAGGCTGGCCTTGAACTCACTAAGTAGCCTAGGGTAGACTTAAACTGACAGAGATCCTCGTGCCTCAACCTCCCAAGTGCTAAGATTACAGGTGTGTGCCACCACACTCAGATAAACGTAATTGTTCTAAGACTCACCTGTGAATCACTTGAATATTGTAGTGGGCCCTGGGCCACCGTCTCACACACTGGCATGTCTGCACCTCCCCGGAGCACTTTTTTGAAATTCAGATTCTGACTCTGTTTCAGAAGATCTGGGGTAGGCCTGAGGTCCTGTATGTCTTACTGAGCGTCTAGGTGCTGCTCTTCTGTAAACACTGAGTTTTGAGTTGTGCTGTCTCCTAAATACTTACACTCCCACAGGAGTTTTAGAAAATCATATTGATGGGGCTAGTGAGATGGCTCAGTGGTCTAAAGCACCTACTTCGAACAAACTTAGCAAAACACAGGGACCTCGGTTCAATCCCCCAGCACCACATGCCAGCCACCCCCGCCCCCTCGTGGGCTGAGCTGGCCACACACACACACACACACACACACACACACACACAATAAAATAAAATAAAAACACTTTAGAAAATCATATTGATAGGGGGCCAGGGAGATGGCTCAGTAGGATAAGCGCTTGACTAGCAAACGCCAGGATCTGAGTTCAATCCCCGGTTCCGCCAAAAAAAAAATAAATAAAAATAAATAAATAAAAGAAAGAAAATCATATTGGTAAAGTCAAGCCAGAGAGTCTCTGGAAAGCCATCTGGGGCATGTGCATTCAGATCACAGGGCCTGCTTGCTTGGAAAAGGAAAACTGCATGGCCTGTTTAGTCCAATACTGAAGTTACTGCTGCATAATTGAGCTCTTCGACCAAAATCAAAGTTGACTGGGCTGCTGCTATTAGACAGATTTCTAGAAATTTGGAAGCCTGTGCCCAGGTATATCATAGTATGTGAAATTCTGGTGGGAGTAAGAGTCCATTTTCCTAGAGTTCTGGCAGATCCTATGCAAAGTTCCTACCATACGCTTGATGCCTTTGTAAATAATATGCAGCATCTATTGTAAAAGGAGAAAATTCTCTGGGAGTTTTACCCCAGAATGCAAACTAAGATTTAAAAAAAAAAGCCCCCTTGCCATTGTTCTGCTGGGCTTCGTGTGACTCAGTTTCCTGTGCAGAAAATGCCATCTATAAGAAGTGAGACTCAGGTGCCAAGTGGCTGCAGGAGAGTGGTTGTTTTTTCTTTTGAGTAATCTGTCCCTGAGAGTGCTGTTTGAGCTGTTGTTATTCGCATGCTTGAAAGTAATGACAAGAATTTAGAAAACTGTTCTCTTTTGAAACACCCTATTTTAAAATATGAGATTCACTGATTTTTGGAGTGTGAAAACAAACTGAACGCAAGGCCCTGGCATCCTCGCTAATCTCATTCTGCAGAAAATGTCCATTACGAGGCTCAGGAAGAAGGTGCACACCTTGTAAACCGGGAGTGGCAGTGCTTTTTAATGACATTAACTTTAGCAATTAAAATGGTGGCCTCCTCGGGGAGCATTGAATAGGTGATCTCATCCAGCCAGCTTCTCCCAACGGGTGCTGCTTCACTTTCAATCAGCCATCAAGCCCATCAATTCTGTGTCTGTAGTGTTTCTGGAGTCTGTTTCTAATTTTTCTACTCCCACTGCCTTTGCTCTCTCGCAGGCCTTCGTCTTCCTTCCTGAGCCAGAGTGAGAACTTATTAAACAGTTTCTGTAGCATGGAGTCCACCCCAGTTCTGGTGACCTCCTCCCGTAGCCAGGAAGTCTGTCCTCCAGCCTGACCATCCCACTCTGACTGTGCCCGCTCCATCATCGAGGTCTTTTGTCTTCTTTATAGGCCTGTAAGGGAAGATGAGACTTTTAGCATAGATTCTGCCCCTTTGCATCTTTCTTTAAGACAGCCTCACTTTTTATCCACACTTCCCCCGTCTCCCTAAGCCCTACTAGTGCCAAACACTTGGACATTTTATTAAACACATAATGTGTTATCTCTCTTTTCCTTTGATGAAGCTAGACCCTCTCTATTTAGAAAGTCTAGTGGGTTTTTCTATACCAGGGCTCGAACTCAGCACCTTGTGCTTGCCAAACAGGAACCTATGCTACTGAACTATCTCCCTGGTCTAATTTTTTTGTTATTCAACCTTGCCCTACTCTTCCATACTCTGCTCCAGCTTTGTATAGCATATGGTTTGCCAGAAGCATCCTAACTAGTCTTCTGTTTCTCTCATCAAACTCTAAGTTCTGCAGTTGAGATCTGCTTCAGACACTTGGTATTTCAGTTCTCTAGCAAAGGGGCTGGAATACAGGAAGCATTACGAAGTAACTCTCTGGAGTATGGTAGATCATGAGGACAGAAGGCCAGAAAGATGGACAAATGAAGGAAAGCAGTGGACAGACTTAGCCTTCCACATGACATAGGCAATTTGATTTTGATGAAAGATATATACATGTGTATATTATCTACATACACAGGTTATAGTGTGTGTAAGCTATGAATCTCTTTCTTTTCATTGGTCTTTTGCAACAACAGGACCTGATAACTTATGTTTTGAGCCATTAATATTTGCTTACTGGTCCTAATTCTGTACTTTTTCCTTGTTCCAGAATGATGGAGCCCTTCAGCTCATGGCTGACTCAATGGTGTGGGTTCCGGAAGGCGGCATGCTACAGATCACCGACAGAATCCTGCAGGCTGCGGCTCCCGGTGCCAGCCCAGACAGCATTGTCTACACTATTACAGAAGGCCGCCCTCAATTTGGTAACTCCTTTCTTCCTTTGGCATAGTTTCTTCTGGGCATTCAGCCGTCTAGGATGTGAGTCTGGACTCTGGCACGCAGCAAAGCTGTGATTCGAGTGAAATAGGCTTTCACTACTTTACACATCTCTTAGAAACAGTAACTGTGATACCTCTCACTATATGTACTTGCTACCTAGTGCATTAAATTTAATAAATGAATTATATGTAGGACCTGAAACTTACATTTCTCAGTACCTTCATTTTTCACATGAGATAACTGGGGTAAACCAGCTCACGAAAAGCCACCTTGTCGATAGATGTCATATTTTTGTTGTTGTTGCGTTTTGTTTTGTTTTAGTTTTGTACCTGGGATTGAACTCAGGACCTTGTATTTGCCAGGCAGGTAGGTGCTTATGCCACTGAGCCTTGTTAGATGTCAGTTTAACTCCACCTTGTGCTCTTCTCAGATTTTCACCAGAATTATTCTTTTTTTTTCTTGCGGTACTAGGGATTGAACTTAGGACCCTATGCTTGCCAGGCAGGCACTTATTCTACTGAGGTATCTCCCAAGCCCTTCTCTAGAATTAATCTTTATGAAGCTTTAAAACAAAATTCTACAAGAGCATTCTTCAGAAATCTCTATTGTTACTTCTTCTAGCAAGAGAGAAGAATACAATAACCTGAGAAATTTTCAGGTCCTGAGTTCGATCCCTGGTACTGCAAGGGCGGGGGG